CCCCAAAACCCCAAAACCCCAAAACCCCCGTCGAGTTATTAATCGTAAAATCGATTCGAATAAAATAGTTAGAATCTAGAAATAAATTAATCGCATTTTACTCACAAGTAAACTTGCATATCAGCTGCTCATTTCGAAGTTTCAGAAATCTTTCATTGAAGAGTCCTTCTTTTAATATTAACTTCTCAATTGGAAATATGCAAAGTCTAACCCCAAAAGCAAGACTAATTGACTATTGATAATCATTGAGTTTTCTATATAAGTTTGGTTGTTGATTTAGAACCATTCAAATTACAATCATCTTAACTCTTATATCTTACATAAGGAATTTTTATTTCTTGTCAATTCTCAAATACTTTTCAGATATATCTTTTTTATAAGCATTTATATGGTCAGCATCATCATCACATATAGTAGAAGCACTATAATCGGAGCTAAAGCTCCTAGTGCTATCATATTTATTTAAGAAATCCTTAGGAGGAATGGGCTAATTTGTATCATTTTATTTCTTTTGTATCTCAAGCAGCTGCTATCTCATATCATAAACTTCGCATGACTAGCAAGAGATGAAGGTTCCAAAAGTGGAACCTAAGTCCTTAACATACCAATAACCCTACTCATTCTACCCAATCTCACAATGAACTCTAGACACCCTTTAGTGAGATGGTTGTAGCAATTCTTTCTAAACAAAAATATCGTAGGAGTCTTTTACCTAGGTACCTATCTTAACAGGCCTGCAGTTATCAGCTAGTTTTCTAGATAGTAATTAGTTGCCATATATCATCAAAATTACTTCAATACAGGGGATCTTGCCCTTAGATTATTTTTTCGATAAACATTCTTTTACATACAGATTAACCGTTCCAGCGAGAGTAATCATTAATCCCTGACTCAATAGAAAATGTTTATGCTTTTTTATCTTGTAAAAGGAGGGCTTTTTTATTCCGATGCATTTGTACTAGAATGAAGCATCATAATTACTCTTAGAAATCTCAAATTAAGTATCTGCTATACTTGTTTACAGACCATATATTTCTTCAAGACTCTGTGAATCAATGATGACTGGCACTGTCAAGTTTTCATTCTGAATGTCCAAATATGCCATGGATTCTTTGAAGTTATAATCATCTGATTTGTAAAATTATATCCTTAATGTTTTCTTCTTGCTCTCTATAATCTAAAGAAGCTAGCACAGCTCTTGCAGCGTAAGTTCACTTTTTTAAAGCAAGAAGTCATGATCTGAATCAGAAACATTAATGACTTTGAGTGTTTATTTGATCAATGGAGTCTCAACTAATTCATGATCGAAATATAAAAGCTAGTAAAAGGAATCGATTAGTGATTGATCATTCATGAGATTTTGCTTTATTTCATAGATTTAATGAAGGTCAGCTTCAATTAATGAGGATAGCTTTTTTTATTTAAGAGGAATATTCGCACTGTGTTCTAGTTCCTTGTAGGAAATCAATTATTGATTCTAATCCAATGAGTTCTTTTAGATTTATGTCTAAACTTGATCCATCATCTCCTCTAAAATCTTATCTATTTCGTTTATACCGAAGCCATGTACCCTTAGCTTTAAGCGCAATTCTTCTTCATCTAGATTGCCTTCAAAATGTTAGATCAATTGGGATCTGAGATAGCACTATTATGAGATTTTCTGAATACATTTTTTTGCAATATTCTCCTCAGCTCCTGGTACGAATTTATGAACTTCATAGGTTTTATCTGACTTAAAGTTGTCTAGCAACACTTTGAATACATTTCTTATTTGCAGTATTATCACTCCAAAGTTTATCAGTTAGCTTATAATCTTAGGGCTCTTGAAGAATCGAGAGAAATTCACTCTTTTTATTGGTATGAGGACATCATATTTCAACTCGCACAAGTAGGACTTCAATAATATCAGGTTGATCAGAATATTCTAAAGCTTGCTTTGATCTGTAAGATCGATATTTTGAAGCATTTTACGGTTCTAATGGAGCATTCTCTCTGTATCTCTTAATATATTTGTGAGATGGTTCAGTTAAATATCATTAAGAAGTTGATTTAGAATAAAGTTGCCAAGCCCTCTTAGGATCTCACGAGTAATTTCAATGTTCTAAGTGATGTGATCCAAATGATTTTCCATATTAATAATTTATCACTCTCATCTTTATATGCATTTCATTCGAACTCCTTGGGGTTTTGGGGTTTTGGGGTTTTGGGGTTTTGGGG